ACCTTATAAATATATCAACCACCGATGGAAGCCATGCGTGACTGAATTGTTAGGAAAAATCATGGAAAAGTTAAACGAGCAGAATATTTTGTTGCCAAATGATTGACAGCTCCATTTTAAGACTGCATAAAGTTACATGACGCAGCCTAGTAAGACAATGTGATAAAGTTACGTAAATCATGCCAATACAAGCCACGCTTTAATTTCCGGCTGCTGCTGGCTGTTTATTGTATTAGCACGATTGTCGGCCAAACAGGAACTTATTAATTATCTCACAGTATCCACTGTCAGGGCTCCCTGCACTGATTGGAATATGCCGCAACTGGGAGTTAAACTCAGGTTTTTTGAGTTAAGACACCGTGCCTGGCACCTAACGTTGAATAGCAAAGCATGCAGAAACGGTGGGCCCCCACCCATAAGGCTCGTGAAGTCTTGTTGTTCCATTATAACGCACGCTACACATACAAGGATGCTTTGGTAGGGCTGCAGGCCGGGCAGTGATTATAAATCTTCTCACAAAAATCGGCACATACTTAGCAGGCGATCAAACGCAGCCTTCTGGCCATTTAAACGTGGCTGTGCTGTGATTTTCATTGGTTTGTTGTGTGCGATATGCTCAGGTTCGGTTGGGGTCATCGACACGAGGCACCAGTTGCCTGGGATGTTCACGAGTAGGTGCTGAAAACATGAATGACAGGGTAGTGGAAAAGACGGATTGAGACGGAATTCTCCAAGAGTAGCTACTTAGCGGGTACAACCCATGCCGCGAGAGTGTGAATCATGCTCATTGATAAACTTTGAATAAATGCCCACAGCATGCTGCACATATCGGACCGTATTTGTATCCTTACAGCACCGTACAGTGCTTGGATCCTCGGAGATGTTAACGATAGGCGGGATTTCGCCTTATCTGGGTCCGCATCACAGCGCGCTGGAATGAGCACTCTCAGCCCGCCTGTGCACTCTCAGCCCGCCTCACATCCAGGCGGGGCAGCGGGCAGCGCATCTCAGCCCGCCTGTGCACTCGTCTGTGGCGGGCAGCGAGTCTCGGACCCCAGCCTTCGGACGGCAGCCTGTCCCGTCGGCTTCAGGAGTTGCCCGCCACGCCCCGCAGTCACCGTGAACAAAATCAGTCGCCTGCCACTGCGCCGTTTTATCTCGCCGGCGCTCTGAGAGCGCGCGGCGTCGCCTGTCTGGCGGCGTCCCGGCTGCTGTCCGGGACGTGATGGATTGCCGCCTGCTCCACGTCAACCTGTCCCGTGTCGCTGTCCCGGACAGGCTCGGCTCGCGCGCCGGTGCTTGCCGGTGATTACGGAGTGATGAAGCGGGCCTGTGTCGGGGGCCGGGGCCTAATCGGAGACGGTTAGTCATTCGTAGGGCGGTCCCCCGGGCTCATGGAGGCCCAAGGCTCCTCACGAAGGCACGAGGGCTTTCACCTCGCGGGCTCAGAGGATGCCCAGCAAAGATGTCGCTTCTGTTGAGCGTAAATCAGTCTCATGTGCTCCTGTGTTGTTGGTTATAGGGCTCACTGCAAGTTGAGATATTGTTGAGTTCCCTTTCGTCGTCATCGAAACAGTAACGTTTTTATCTGGTGCTCGTATCCATGTAAACCCATACCCAAGCACACAGGTTGGAAGTCAATTGTTGACTTGTGGTTGAAATTAACGGCCTAGGAGCACGGTGACGTAAATTTAGATAGTCATTCGGCGACGACGGCATATAGATACAGGATCAACTGATTACCGAGGGTTAAGTACTTATTCATATCATTGAAGATAAAGGTGTGCTTTAATCCCGTTCATATAGATTTAAACTGCATCGAACAATCATTGGATATAAATTATTTGATCATGCATTTGCCATTAGCGATCAGCTGGCTATGAAATTAGCCAGCCACCGTTGGTAGCCACTGGCAACTGGCGAACAGGAAGCAGCCGCGGCCAGATTCTGATCGATTGGGGTTATCATGCCAGCTTGATTAATCTTACAAATTATGCTATTCATACCATGATCATAATAAGTAATCATATCCTATTAATCGCCACCTAAGGTGACGGCAGATTATGCTTTCCAGGTTTTTAGGACTCTGCTCAGCTCTGCTGCCATAACTGTCCACTATTTGGTGCAATCATACTCTCCTGTAGCGATTCCACCGTCCTGTCACTGTGTGGTGCTACCATACCACTCCCCGCCATTCCATACCACTGCCCAGTGGTATGGTATGGTATGGTGTTATCATACCATACCACTCCCCGCCATTCCGTCCGTATAATGGTGCTTTGCTGTATCAGTTCCATCGGGCTGTTCTGACAACAGGAATATATTTTAAAGAGCATGTGTTTTAATTCATGCAGTGTATGAACTCCCCGTGTAGGCAGCTTCATGCTACCCAGTGCTATCGCGAGCGGCGTTATCACGCCGGTCGCCCCCCCCCCCCCCCCCCCCAACTCCTCCTTCAAACGCCAGCAGCGTTTTGCGGAAAATGAGCAGGACAGTCAGGGGCGCATGGAGCTGCGAATCTGGGAAGGAGCCAAGCTCAGATAATAACGTCTGTTTCACAAAACGAAACTGAAGCACCAAAATGTCCCTTCTGTACTATGCTGACTTGCCCTTGGACATCCAGCTGGTGTGCCTCGGCCCTCTTCTGCGACGGGCCCTGTTCTCCCCGCAGTGTGCGTGGTGGGATGGTTTACCGGGGGCCGGCTAACGGGCTCTCATAACCGTTGACCAAAGAGGAACAAATACAGCAGTTAACGTCGCTAGTATTCACAAGGCAGTCCAACACCCAGGCTTTGGTCAATCTCATTCCTTCTATCCAACTATAGACAATTTGCAGCACCGTAGGAATTCGAAATATTGATAAAAGTGTCCAAAAGATATCATGCGCCCGTTAGACCGGTTGGATGCGATTCGTTCAGAGGGTCGTCAATTTGACTTCCTGAGATCCCCAAAAGTAAGAGAGATAGTGACACCAAATGCGCCGGGTAAGTTGGCCTGTATGCGATCTCTCGTGTGTCAAATTTTGAAGTCTTATGTCGTCGTCTTCAGGGCAAACAAGGTCAACTCTAGATTGATGTTCAAAGTGCCTTCAGACGTCCTCGTGCAACCACCTTTAACCTGGATGCCCTTCTAAGCAAAATGTCATTGGTGTTCATTCAGGTTGGCAACGTTATTTTGCCTTCAGAATGTGAACGTGACCAAAACTGTTCGACATTGTCGTGATGTCGAAATTTGAAATCAGCGTGCGTGGCTACGCTAGGCAGTATATTCTCACCAAACATTGATCGAGGTTCGTTGAAGGTCAGTAACCTCTGACCTTCATTAGCCCACATCAGGTGTCTGTTGACGCTCCTGTGATCAAGGAATGTTAAGTGAGCGTAACAGTTACAGCTCAAAGCAAGCTCTCTAGAAAGGAGCAATCTGGTTTGACCTTGGTCTGATGTTTACACCTGATCCAAGATGACTGGAATTAGTCGTGATCTTAAATTTAGCTGTCCAATTGTCAAGAAAACACCACAAAGATGAATGGCTTCTTCTAACACCTGGTAGTCGTACGATATTGAGTGACCCTTTAAGAATTGCCTTCGCTGATAGCCGTGTGCCGAATTTGGCCCGCCATAGGTCAGCGAACTTACAAGGTAAACGTTATTTTTTACCCGAGAATTGCAGTCATGGCATGATACCCTACAGCACGCACGAAGTAAAATTAATGCGTGTAATGAACGTACTAATTGAAAACAAGACAGACATGCATCAAAGAGTATGGTGACGACGGGAGTATACAGAATTGCATGCATGACAAGGGCTTACTGTCATAAATGCTACATAAATGCATAAATGCACGAGCCCTCACTTGCCTTTTGAAGTGAGAGATTTGGACGTTCTAAATATGACGTCATAGCGGTAGCAAGAAGCTCTGAGCTGTCGCGACGGAATAATGAAATGCCCGCTTGGTGTCCTCCAGCCGGCACCTGAGCGGGCGGATATGTCGACAACAGGGTTAGGAAATCGGTCTGCGTCGAAACGGTCATCCTTCCGGGGCCAGTCCAGAGACTCTAAAGTCGGTGTTGAAGCTGGCCGCGGCGTATGTCAGAGAAAAGTCTGCTGGCAAGCTTTGTAACTTCTTGAGCTTTTGAGTCCTCTGCGCATCGCATTACATCGCGCCACTCCGCGTGCAGAGGTTTCATGGCCGGTATGTGGGAAGCCGTAGGCCTGATTAGTAATACCGACGGGTTCAGGCGTGCAATAACGTCGGAGGTCGTGCAGCGGCACAACACTCCCATTGCATTTTGCACGACTCTGGCGACTTACATCCCACACGAAAACGCCGAACCTATGATCACACCGAGAAACCTGATGTGCTGTGAATGTGTCACAGTCTCTCCATCTATGTCGAAGTGAAAGTAAGAAGTACGACTTAATTCGTGTGTAGATATGTAGGTATAGTGTATACGAAATAAGGAGCGCAGCTTGGCCTGCCAGTGGCTGGTGCATATTTTTGAAACATTTCTGAACTCCGTGGATGTATGTGGATCTGCAGGGCCACGTGTTTAGGTTTAAGCCTTTACGAATATTACCGCTAGGTCGCAGGTCTCGAATGCGCTCAAGGCCCGGCTGGAGAGGAGGTTTTCTCTGACCGGAGCCGTTATATCGTGTCGTTCCGCTGCGGGGATGTGTTGGTGTTACACAACATTGTGTTGCACCCTTCCGTGTGTGCAGAAGCGTTCGGCTACGTCGTTGCGGCTGTGTATTTCACGTTATGATTGATCGCTTTACTACGCCCCTCGTTCAGTCCTTGTTATGATGTGTCGTGTCAGTCCCCCGTTTTACCCGGGCAATTACGTAACGTCCTCCAGCGCTCCGTCTTGTTACGTGTTGCTCCACGGCACACTGCAGCGACATTTGGCGCGCTGTTGCTAGATTCGCCCTCTCGATGCTCTTGCCCTTGCCGTGGGCGGATCTGGCGGCGAGCTGCGTCTGACCCGGCCATCTGCCCTCAGGCAAGGGTGACGAGGTCACCGGGCCGGGCCTTCGCGCCAACCAGAGAGCGCTGCAGTCGCTGAGGATGGCCGACGGGCTGTGGTACCACCTGGTCAGGTCAGGTGGGTCCGCACTCTGCCAGCCAGACGCTGCCATCATCGTCGCCATTGGGGCTTTATGACGCACTCAGCTGCTGAGGCTATATGGCGTCGCCCGCCTCTCGCCCTGGCAGGAGGGGCGGGCACCGCGGGAGTCGAGCACTGTTCCTTTGGGTTCCCAGACGTGCAGTGGTTAACACAGACGCGTTAACCACTGCACTATCGTCACCCCTGGCGCGGCGCCAAAACACGACACACACACACACACACACACACACACCACACACACACACACACACACACACACACACACACACACACACACACACGCACGCACGCACGCACGCACGCACGTATATATATATATATATATATATATATATATATATATATATATATATATATATATAATTCATTTATGTATTTATTTAAAGCAGAGAGAGAGAGAGATAGAGGGGAGAGAGAGAGAGAGAGGGGGGAGAGAGAGAGAGAGAGAGATTCTACTTGCCATAGTACGGATATGATATAAGATATGGACACACTTAATGGCGTGTCAAACTTTGTAAGTTGCATTTATAAGTTGTTGCAACAACGCTACACAGCAAACGTTTCTACGATACGGTAAGAAGCATGCGAAATCAGACGAGGAGCGAGTAAGGTGTTCCTTCTTTTCTGGTGGTTGATCAGCTGAGCGCTAGTAAATGTATCAACCCGTGCGAGTATACCTACACTACTCCGTAATGGTGGCCAAGTGACAACAGAAGCGCCTCTCAGCAAGGTTTTCACCGTCAAACCTCGCCTTTTTGCCACCTAGTGGCCACTGGAGACAACTGTTGTGACTTCCCTCTCAGTGAGGTCTCGGCGACCCCTTTGCCTGTGATGGCAGGTGACGTGGAGCGTCTGAAGCTGACGGTGCTCTGCAACTTCCGTCACCTGTGGCAGTCGGCGCGCATGCGCGGTCCGGCCCACCTCTACAAGATGGCGGCCGCCACGCGCCAATGGTTCCTCGACTGGGAGGCCGAACTGGTACATCACGCATTGCGCAAGACTGAGGGTGAGTTCAAGAGTTCCGCGGGGTGGTATGTAATTTGTTTGCTATTCATTTATTTTATTTTAGAAAACTGAGTTGAATGCTCAGTGAGTGTTTGTCCTGGATGATTCAAAAATATGAAAAGTGTACTGTACTAGTGGCGTGGGGATATTCCGTAATGGAAGGCATATCATCCCTTCGAGCTCATTCTTTCCATGTACCGCAATGTGGCGTTTAAGTTAAAGAGAGTTGTATGTTGAAGGCAGTTGTAAGTGTTAGTTGTAAGTTAAAGGGTACTCCACATTTGTACGGGGTTTTGCACTGAAATGGTCATTTTGAAGATCATTTGGTACATTTCACAGCTCTGCCCTTTTTAAGATCTAAAACGTTCTAGTTTCTGGGCTATACGCCGCGAAGATGGGCAGACTATTTCGTGCAGTCTGTTTCAAGGTCATTGAGGCAGACATGACAACATAGAAACGCCACTCCAATTATATCTCTCCCTCCCCCCACTGGCAATACGGCTCTCAAAGCCAATGCAATCGTCTGGTTGCTCATACGTGGTGTTCGTGAGCACGATGCTCAGATATGATAGACGATAACTGGCTCTCAAACAATGTTGAGCAGACTGTGCGAGTTTGAACCACTAAATATGTTTGTGCTATGTGATATAAGAAGTAGGACATGGTTTCTAGTTGTTACGCAAATAAGACTTGTAATCGGGTAATTGAAAAACGGCGCAATAACTGAACACGTGAATACAAGTAAACACCATAAACTAACTGCCAAATATGCAAGAAGGAGAAAGAGAAAGGACGAAAACCCGTGGAACCCGAAAACCCGAACACATGACAATGTTTGGTTCAACAAACACTTCCCGCACCGCCACAGCCGCCTCTTAAGAATGAAGTACTACAAGTGAGTGCTAGGTTGGCAATTTCGCACAGTTAGTTTGGCAGCACATCAACATCATGCAAGCTTTCCATTACGCGATCAAACTATGACGTATTGAGCAGCGTATTTACTAACCAGGGAAATTTCGCTTTCTAAATAATTTTTCCACTTGAAGCTATGCCAGCAATCATGCAAGTGAGTTTATTCTAACATATCTGATGCATGTCTAAATACATTGTAAGATGGAGTCTTCCTTTTAAGCTTCCACGCAAATACAGGGCTGTGGCCTTCACCGCCGTACGTACTGCGGCTGTACACGGGTCTCTGGAAAATTGCTACAGACTTGTCAGACCACGTGACCCCTTAGCTTCCAGTCAGCGCAGATCACGTGCCCTTCTCACTCCCGCTCTAACGACACAGCTGGAGGGTGACTGGTCGGATCAGCTGGTGCCGCAGCCACTTGTCAGTGTATCGCGATACATCCTCACTCCTCCTCCTCCTACCCCGGCAGAGCTGGAGGGCGACTGGTCGGACCAGCTGGCGCCGCAGCTGCTCATCTGGCTACACCACGCGGCCGGGCAGGCGCACTCGCCGCTCAGCCACCTGCTGGCAGCCGCCGTGGACTGGTGCGCTCGGCAGCGCCGGCCGCTCCTCGTCCCCGCCACGGTCTGGGTCCGCCAGAGCCTGCCCGACGTGGTCTGGGGTAGGTGAACCCGGTGGGGAGTGGGACGCCCGCCAGCGCCGGCCGCTCCTCGTCCCCGCCACCATCTGGATCCGCCAGAGCCTGCCCGACGTGGTCTGGGTTAGGTGGACCCGGAGGGGAGTGGGGCGGGGCGCCAGCGCCGGCCGCTCCTCGTCCCCGCCACTGTCTGGGTCCGCCAGAGCCTGCCCGACGTGGTCTGGGGTAGGTCGACCCGGAGGGGAGTGGGGCGGGACGCCAGCGCCGGCCGCTCCTCGTCCCCGCCACTGTCTGGGTCCGCCAGAGCCTGCCCGACGTGGTCTGGGGTAGGTCGACCCCGAGGGGAGTGGGACGTCCGCCAGCGCCGGCCGCTCCTCGTCCCCGCCACCGTCTGGGTTCGCCAGAGCCTGCCCGACGTGGTTTGGGGTAGGTCGACCCGGGGGGGAGTGGGGCGGGACGCCAGCGCCGGCCGCTCCTCGTCCCCGCCACGGTCTAGGTCCGCCAGAGCCTGCCCGACGTGGTCTGGGGTAGGTGGACCCCGAGGGGAGTGGGGCGCGGCGAGATGTGGCGACACGACGGCGGGCGGTTGTCGTGTTTTGTGAACGGGCATGTCTTTTGTGGTTGACGACAGCGTGAACAGTGTATGTGGCACGGACGTAGTTTGGCGCCATAATTTCGGCGCGGACTCTGCCGCAGTGCGCGAACCTGGGCTGCCCAAAAATGCTGTCATCTGAGTATGCGTCATTTTATCGTCTGCTTGGAGGAAGTGCTATTGTATTAGATGTCTTGCCTTGAGTACTGCAAAAGTCTTCATTAGCATTGTCTAATGAATGTTCGTAGGATTTCTCTCTTAAGTTGCGGGAAGACGAAGCTGCCAAAGGGCTGCAAAAGCTGCATAATCCTTGTTACACTGGGATTAGGTATGTTTTCCGCTTAAACGAATGCGATGGTACATCCTTCACATATAAGAGTATGTCAACCACGTGTGTTTCGCATCAGGCGTTTTTTATGATGAACAAAAGTTTAGCCATTCACAATAGTCGCTGGGAGATTCATACCTGATAATAAAACGCCATCAATCGCTTCTTTAAAACTAGCGTTTTATACATTCCTAGGACGCGCCTGCGATTGCCCCTGCGGGATGTTCTCGCCGCCGTCGTCGACAACCCTCATGGCTGCTTAGAATCGCTGTGAAACTTTCGCAGTTTTCTTAAAGCTTGTGCTTCTCTTAGCATGTGCCGGGACATGCGCACTGGCCCCAGCGATATTGGCTCCCTGCCCTCTTTGGACTCGGCGCTACCCGAAGACCAGCCGTCTCTGTTGAAGCTCTAACGTGGCGCTGCGCAGTCTGACGTAAACTGAAGCCGTAGTGCTCAACCCGCCGTGATTTGGCGCTGGACGTGCTAAACTTGCCTGAGGGCATGAGAAGCTACAGGGTGACGCCCACAGTGGCGTGGTAAAAGTTTGGAACTCGTTCACATTCGCACCGCAGGACTCCGAAGCCATCTATATCATAGCTCGCTGTTTTCTGTTATCCGACTTCCTGACGTCTGCCGAGCTTGAAATAAAGGCATGTCCAACATTGGGCGTGCGTCAGTGCGAGGTCCCTCCATTCAGCTATGAGCGCTGGTGGCTCAGGCAGTCATCGCATGTTCATCGCTTCGTGGAGTGATCCAGAGCCGGAATGGCGCATGACCCAGCTTGGGGCGCGAACCGAACCCGGGCCTTCCCGGTTAGAACGCCAGCGCCTTAACCGCTTGCGCCACCGTGCCCGGCAGACATCGCGCTGCCTGAGTCGGTGCACCTGTACGCGCCGGCGGCGGACGGCGTCCACGTGTACGTGTGCTGCGGCGGCCGAGAGTTCCAGCTGTGGCATCTGCTCAGCTGTCGCTCCGTGCACACGTTCAGAGGTCAGACTGGGGTCAGAGGTCGGGTCATAGTCGGGATCGGGGTCGGGGTCAGAATCAGAAACCGAGGTCGGGGTGGGAATCGCGGTCAGAGTAGGGGTCGGGTCAGGGGTCGAGGCCGGGGTCAGAGTCAGGGTCGGGGTCAGGGGTCTGGGCCGGGTTCGAGGTCGAGGTCGGGGTCGGGGTCGGGGTCGGGGTCGGGGTCCGGGTCGGAGTCGGAGTCGGAGTCAGAGTCAGAGTCAGAGTCAGAGACGGGTCGGAGTCGGAGTCGGAGTCGGAGTCGGAGACGGGGTCAGAGTCGGGGTCGGAGTCGTGGTAGGGATCTGGCTCATGGTCGGGTACTTGTTTCCGTAAACACTGCATTGACTAAGTTGGTCACGCGGATCCCAGTGGATCACGTCCAGGTCAACAAACCGTTTTGGAGACAGATTGTACCTGTGAGGCCACGTGAAGACATTTTTCCCTGCTTTAGCCTCACTTTCTTGACCAGGGCCTGACTGGCCGGCATGGTCGAGCAACAAAGGGGCGTAATGACCGAGTGGTTAGTGTGCTGGGCCCCACATGGAAAACCGGGCTCGAACCGCAGTTACACTGTGGTCCCTGAGCTCTAAATGGCCTCTGCTATCGCTGACGCTCCATAACAGGGCGTGTGACGACATGTGTCATACCCCTTACAAAAGACCGGCAGCATAAGCGCGGTCTTCGGGGCACGAGCCCACACGTGCCGCACGCACTGGGGCAGCCTCGTCTTCGGCAGGTCACACCGGTGACGTCACGTGCGTGTACCCGTCGCCGGACGGACGTCACGTGGTCTCCGGCTCCGAAGATTGTCAGGTGATCATCTGGAGCGCCACCAGCTTCCGCTCGCTATTCACCATAGAGTAGGTGTTGTTGTTGCCGTTGGTGCTGCTGTGACTCTTCAGTGTCATAGTTATGTACTCGTACCTTTGCTGCTCGAGTAAGCGTTGTATGTTTTTACTGTCGAGCTATATTTTATTATATTTTGTATTATGTTATATTATATTACATTTTTGTTATATTATATTTTTGTACATTATGTCTTGTGTTTTTATTATACGTTTATTTTATTATTCGTATTATGGTATATTATATTTTTATTTATTATTCTAGTTGATATTTGATTGGTAGCAGCTACTATGGTATGTCATGTCCCAGATAAGAACAAGGATCAAAGCCATTGCGATGTTACACCCTCTTCCCTTAAAGTCGCCTTTCCCCAAAACATGGGCGGTCCTGGCTGTCGTATTTATGGAGTAAGCTTGTGTGTGTTTATTCGCACGGGTTTTCTTTTAATCAGCTTCTGCGCTAAGTTTCGTTTGTGTCACGAACACGTCCTGTCATCCATGAGGCTCTGCCAGGGGAGCTGGCTTGTTCCGGCATGTTAAACCACTTAAACCACACAAACCACACAACCCACTGCTCAGCATTTTAAAATGCCTGGAATCTCAACGACATCGCCTCCTTGATGCATGTTTCCGCTTTTATCGGGAAAATGTATGCCAGAGGTGAGCATCGAACCCACGCGCTGACGCGCGGTGAACAAACTGTGTCTATCACCGCGAGAAAGCGAGGGATGCGTACCAGGCGCTGCCACTCTGCCGCAGCCGGCACATCGCCTCCGTGCTGTGCGTCTCGTCTGCCAGCCTGGCGAGCCGGGGAGACATCGTGGTCAGCGGCGGGGAGGACAGCTGTCTGTACGTGACACGGCTCAGGAGCACCGAGCACGCTCACGGTGAGAGTCAGGAGCACCGATAGTGCTTATGGTGAGGATCAGGAGCACCGAGCACGCTCTCGGGGGGGGGGGACTAGGAGCACCGAGCACGCTCACGGTGAGAGTCAGGAGCACCGATAGTGCTTATGGTGAAGATCGGGAGCACCGAGCACACTCTCGGGGGGGAGGGGGGGGCTGGGAGCACCGAGCACACTCACGGTGAGAGTCAGGAGCACCGATAGTGTTTATGGTGAAGATCGGGAGCACCGAGCACGCTCTCGGGGGGAGGGCTAGGAGCACCGAGCACGGTCACGGTGAGAGCTGGTAACACTGAGAACGTTACGGTGACGGACCAGAGCACCGGGTACGCTTACGGTGAGGATTAGGAGCGCCGAGCACGCTTAGAATGAAGTACGCAGGAGTTTGACCCTAGCTGTGATGTAAAGAGAGAACATTGTGAAGAATGTATCCGCACGGTAGTCCGTCTGGGAGACCGAGCTCAGGAAAAACTGAACTGATCATCGCGCAGGTTAGGGTAATTTTAGTTATAACCGCACGGAACTGCTCAGCGCTAAAACAACACACTTTTGGTGCGGCGGTGATGAGCACGCATGGAGCCTCGCGATCATTTTCCTGAAGATGTGGCCCCTACAGCATGTCACAACTGACGTGACGTCATGTGACAGTGACGTGGCGTGACGTCACAGCTGACATGACGTGATGTGATAGTATGATGTGGCGTGACGTCACAACTGACGTGATAAGCGACGAAAACAGTTCGGTGTGCCGCAATTTAGCGTCTGGTTATTAGTATTCACGTGACTGATGTCACTTATGTGAAGGTGTTATCTGTCACTTATGATCCTCATTGTGTTTGCGATCTCTGCCACCAGATGTCAGCAGTGAGCCACGCCAACTGTCGCAGCATAGGGGCCCCGTGACCTGCATCGAGATCAACAGCGAGTCGGAGGTCATGGCGTCAGGTCGGTGTGAGGTCAACGGGGTGGAGGGGGTCAAGTCAAGCCACAGCTGTGTGGTCGACGTGCGCAGTGTCTTGTTTGGGGAGTTGCGCATGTGGTGTATTTCTGTCGTCGAGTGGTATCTGGACTCCGGCCACCGTCATCTGAAAGTTGACTTTTTCAAGACCATGCTGCGGCACGGTGCTCTTCTATATGAAGCTTTGCTGTGGGGAAGGTCCCGTTGTGTGATCACATGGTTACTTTACGGCGTGATGGTCATTTACATTAATAAGCCTGCCACATATACTGACGTTCAGAGACCTCTTCAGAAACCCTAATTATTTCTTTCCAGCGTGCGCCTTGTTTTTTTATCGTAGCTGGCATGAATATTTATGTCAATCTGTGCTTTGTGCAAACAAGCAGACGGGCACGACTTCGTGGAAAACATGTTGACGGCAAGCGGGTTCCAAATTGAATAGACTTGACTTCGTGGAGTGCTGTGCGACAGCTAACGGCAGATATGCCACAAACGATGCTGAGCACAAACGAACCGCGGCCCAACGGCACGCAAAAGCACAGCAAACAGCACACACAATTTACGAAATATTGCAGGTCTAAGAGCGCCCTTTGCGCATTGAAAAGAAGCTAGTCCTACCGTGCAACCTCGTGAGGGAAGGGGGGGGGGGAGGCAGTAATTCTTACGTTGCACATCCGGATTTCCACAGAGTAAACGGCGGCACTTGTCAGTTTCGGTCTACAGACGTGATTAGTCTTGTCGATGTGTGACAGATGTGGTGAGACCAAGCCCGAGTTTAGCCTGGCACTGAGAAGCGCGTTGCCCCGCAGTGCCGTGAACTGCGGCATGCTTGTGAAACCAGCATTTCTTTCGTACCCTGATGTACTAGTTTAATCCTTATATACAAAACGGATGTGCCACGTTATCCATTGGTCTGATCGCAGCACGCTGTCACTCGAGCAAAGTCTTACAGAAGTTCTTCAGTTTTGGCGCCGCCGACTTCTCCCGCGGGTGTCTAGTGTCGTGCAGCCAGACAGCGACCATGACATGTCTAAGCCAGCTGACATCTGTCCGCTCGGCAGGGTCGCACGACAAGACGGTGATCCTCTGGTGTCTGGAGTCGCTGACGGTGCTGAACGAGATCAGCGTGCCCGCGGCTGTCACCCACATGTCCGTGTCCGGTGGTGCGGTGAGTTACCGTCATGTCCGTGTCGGGCGGTGCGGTGAGTTACCGTCATGTCCGTGTCCGACGGTGCGGTGAGTTACCGTCATGTCCGTGTCCGACGGTGCGGTGAGTTACCGTAATGTCCTTGTCTGGCGGCGCGGTGAGACCAATATGTCCGTGTCGGGCGGTGTGGTGAGTTACCGTCATGTCCGTGTTCGGCGGTGCGGTGAGTTACTGTCATGTCCGTGTCCGGCGGTGCGGTGAGTTACCGTCTTGTCCGTGTCCGGCGGTGCGGTGAGTTACCGTCTTATCCGTGTTCGGCGGTGCGGTGAGTTGCTGTCATGTCCGTGTCCGGCGGTGCGGTGAGTTACCGTCATGTCCGTGTCCGGCGGTGCGGTGAGTTACCGTCATGTTCGTGTCAGGCGGTGCGGTGAGTTACCGCCACGTCCGTGTTCGGCGGTGCGGTGAGTTACTGTCACGTCCGTTTTCGACGGTGCAATGAGTTGTCGTCATGGGTCGCTCGTGTGCCGGCCAACATTATGGTGTCCCGTAAAAACATGTTTCTTTAAGCGACGTGACGCACATCGTCGCACCCCTTTCATGGAGCGCCAGCAACTGCATTGACTACATCAGCGCCCAGGGGCCATGGCGCTACCGGGATTCCCCGTGGGGCTCCCACATGGGGGTCCGACGCGTCTACCATTCCGCCATAACGCGCCAACCCATGTCACAAACACATTGCATAGTTAAGTTGCATTGCATACTTAAGTTGCTAAGTGCATTTGCGAGGAACATTATTGACAGATAAGACAATAGTAATAGCCTTATTCCACGGAGAGGAACCAGGCGAAAGGAGATGTAGATGTATTGGTATTTCGGCAACATGTCGTCCTCCAAACAATAGCAGAAGTACAATTTTCACATGAGGTGGAGTTTCACAGACCGCGATTTTCACGTAAATGACACCTCTACTATTGTTTCCACAAAGGCATGTTGTCGAAATATCAGCACATCTATGTCACCATTCTCTTGTTTTTTTTTCTCTCCGAGAAATAAAACTATTACTAACGTCTTATTTATGCGCATATATTGCATGTGCAGCATGAGGTAACGAGCGACGGTGACCAGAAGTGTGAGGGACAGTACGGTTTTTGGCTTGACGTCGAACGGTGAGAAGGGAGAGCGTATACTGGGTGCGTGCTTCTCTGATGTATATCTAGGGTGCGTACTTCAAGAAAGGCCGGCAAAATGTGCAAAGAGAGAGAGAGAGAGAGAGAGAGAGAGAGAGAGGAGAGAGAGAGAGAGAGAGGAGAGAGAGAGAGGAGAGAGAGAGAGAGAGAGAGAGAGAGAGGGAGAGAGAGAGGAGAGAGAGAGAGAGAGAGAGAGAGAGAGAGAGAGAGAGAGAGAGAGAGAGAGAGAGAGAGAGAGAGAGAGAGAGAGAGAGGGAGAGAGAGAGAGAGAGGGAGAGAGAGAGAGAGAGAGAGAGAGAGAGAGAGAGAGAGAGAGAGAGAGAGGAGAGAGAGAGAGAGAGCGAGAGAGAGAGAGAGAGAGAGAAAGAGAGAGGGCACAATATCGCACTCCATTTATCCAAATAAGCATGGTGAACCCACGAGGAAAAAATATTTTTCGTCTTGATTTAGACGCCAGACAATGGCGCTCCATACCGTTTCTAATGGCGGCCCTGTCCTACCTCCTACCTCCATTGGTGGAGAGCGTACCATTCGGCCGTCCCACGATATTCGCTCCTTTCTGTCAATACCCCACACATGCGACAACTGATCTCGTTTTAAGTGCAAATGGTTTACAATGTTGGGTTTTTCAAGGGCACCACGAAATGCAACCGGTTCACGATTTACCTATGGAGTAATTCTGGCAGATACTTCACGACGTGAAATCGTTCGGGGCTTCATTAAACACTTAGCGTGGCAACCGTGGCGACATTCAAGGAAATGTTTAACAGTTGAAGATATTGAAACGAGCACGAGAAGCAGCGAGCAGGTGTAAGAGACTGCTCTAGATATCATAATATCTCTATTTAGTTAACATGCTCCTCAAGGCGTAATTTCATTCGAATGACATTATTATGGCGGCGTGGATACCTGGATGACCTTGAAATAGTCTGCAAGAAATAGTCTGCACATCTTCGCCGGTATGCAACTCAGAAACTAGAGGGGGTTACGTCTTAAGAAGGACGGGCTGTGAACTGCACCGAACGATATCCAACATATTTTTTTTGGTTCAAAATTCCATGCAAATGTGCAACACCCTTGCAAGCATGCTTCCTGAGGAGCACGGATCTATGTGCCATGGTGTGTGCCCAACGGTCGCCCCAGCGTCCAGGTTGACCTGACCTGTTGGCTGCCAGATGTTCCTGCTGACGGCCTGCCTCGACATGATGGTGTACGTCCACAGCTTCACCACCGGCAGTCCTCTGCACTCGCTGCACAATCATCAAAGTCAGGTAAGTACTGAACCTCGTCGGCTGTTGGGGGTCAGTCAAACAAAATGGCCGCCGTCACGCGTCCATGTTATGGTTGGATACGCCCGGTCTGGTGTGTAAGCGTATGTTTAACCTTTTTACCCGGATCTTTCGATGATAGCTATTGAAACGAAGTAGATACGGCTGGAATCACTCTTACGCTTAACAATCGATAAAAACCTACCTGCGGTATATCGCGAGCAACGGTTTTCTGCATATGAATTCATTACGTCGAGAACCAGATCTTTAAACAAGAAGACTTTGATTTTTTTGCGTCGTCTCAGGTGACGCCCAAGTTCAGCTGCCTCTGCCCTGCTGTCCTCAGGTGTCGTCTCTGGCGTCATACCCGAGCTCAGCTGCCCCTGCTGTTGCCCTCAGGTGTCGTCTCTGGCGTCACACCCGATCTCAGCTGCCCCTGCCCTGCTGCCCTCAGGTGTCGTCTCTGGCGTCATACCCAAGCCCAGCTGCCCCTGCCCTGCTGCCCTCAGGTGTCGTCTCTGGCGTCATACCCGACCTCAGCTGCCTCTACCCTGCTGCCCTCAGGTGTCGTCTCTGGCGTCAATACCCGACCTCAGCTGCCTCTGCCCTGCTGCCCTCAGGTGTCGTCTCTGGCGTCATACCCGACCTCAGCTGCCTCTGCCCTGCTGCCCTCAGGTGTCGTCTCTGGCGTCATACCCGACCTCAGCTGCCCCTGCCCTGCTGCCCTCAGGTGTCGTCTCTGGCGTCATACCCGACCTCAGCTGCCTCTGCCCTGCTGCCCTCAGGTGTCGTCTCTGGGGTCATACCCAAGCTCAGCTGCCTCTGCCCTGCTGCCCTCAGGTGTCGTCTCTGGCGTCACACCCGACCTCAGCTGCCTCTGCCCTGCTGCCCTCAGGACGTCTCCGGCGTCACACCCGACCTCAGCTGCCCCTGCCCTGCTGCCCTCAGGTGTCATCTCTGGCGTCACACCCGAGCTCAGCTGCCCCTGCTGCTGCCCTCAGGTGTCGTCTCTGGCGTCATACCCAAGCTCAGCTGCCCCTACCCTGCTGCCCTCAGGTGTCGTCTCTGGCGTCACACCCGACCTCAGCTGCCTCTGCCCTGCTGCCCTCAGGTGTCGTCTCTGGCGTCACACCCAAGCTCAGCTGCCTCTGCCCTGCTGTCCTCAGGTGTCGTCTCTGGCGTCATACCCGACCTCAGCTGCCCCTGCCCTGCTGCCCTCAGGTGTCGTCTCTGGGGTCATACCCAAGCTCAGCTGCCCCCGCCCTGCTGCCCTCAGGTGTCGTCTCTGGCGTCATACCCGACCTCAGCTGCCTCTGCCCTGCTGCCCTCAGGTGTCGTCTCTGGCGTCATACCCAAGCTCAGCTGCCTCTGCCCTGCTGCCCTCAGGTGTCGTCTCTGGCATCATACCCAAGCTCAGCTGCCCCTGCTGTTGTCCTCAGGTGACGTCTCTGGCGTCGTCGAAGGACGGTGAGCTGTGTGTGGCCGGCTGCCGGGACTCAAAGGTGTACGTATACGACATCGCTTCGGCCCGACTGCTGCGCACGCTTCCCCGCCACGGCAGCGCCGTGCTGGCGGCCCGCTTCGCCTCGCGGGGCCACCTGCTCGTCACGGCCGGTCAGTGTCACGGGGGTCACGTGATGTGTCGGTCGGTGGAGAGCTGGTCTGTCACGGGTGTCACGTGATGTGTCGGTCGGTGGAGAGCTGCTCTGTCACGGGTGTCACGTGATGTGCCGGCCGGTAGTTAGCTGTTGTGTCACGGCGTGTCACGTGATGTGCCGTGGCGGATAGCGCGGTGTTGCGAATGTCGGTGGAGGGCTGGTGTGTCACGGGTGTCACGTGATGTGTCGCGGTGGCCAGCGCAGTGACATCAAACCTGAGATAGCGTAGCTGTGGGTTTCTTGGTGTATCATGGTGTACGTGACTTTTCAGGGTCGGTCATGTAGTTTACGGTTCTTGGGTGGGTGTTATTCATTTGTGTGTTGTCTTTGCTCTTCAACGGCACGTAATTCATTCCTTAACACGGCGGTCTGTGGGTTGTATGCTGTTCCCCTGCGCCCCGCCTGGCGGCAGAGCAGCTGCAGCTATCTAAAACGTGTCGAACGTCGCGACTCGTTCCCGGCTCTGGTCGATGATTGAGAGTGTGTCAAGACGGTCTGGGGAAGTCGGCCATGATTCATTGTCTGATCAGAAGCTGTTGCGGTCCATGCCGCTTTTTGTTTTTGTTTTGTCGAAGCGGTCAGTATGCAAACTCTTATAACGAAGCGTTGTGGTAAGACGAGTGTGTGAAGACAAAATCTGATGATCAGGCGCCAGAGTGCTGGGCGTTGGACTAACTCGAGGTTCGTCTGCCGGCCGCCAGGTGCCAGCAGGGTGCTAGTGACCCACGTACAGCCTCTGACAGTGAAGCCGCGCGTTTACGTGTCGGACCGAAAAAAGATCCCGGTGGAGCACCAAGCGGACATCACTTGTGTGGACATATCAGCTGACGAAACTATGGTCGTTACGGGTAAGATACCCGCCGCTTTGAATCGTTTCGTTGCTCGTGTGCCCGAACCCGTATTACGATCTGTTTGCATGGTTAGCCCAATATAAAGCGTGTTGACTTCTTCGTAGAGTGCAGTGCGTTTCGAGGTCCGTGGGCGAGACAGGGCAGACGTCGATGAGTAACTTGGTTATCAAAGACGTCTGGGACTATGGGCATGATCATGCTCTGATGATGATCTGATGACACGTTGAATTTGTTTTAAGCAGCCCGTGACTGCGCAGTTGTGCATCGAGATGTATTAAGATAGGTGGCTACTGATTGATGACTCCTGTCTACTGTTAGCCCTCCTCCCTCCCCCCCTCCCCCCCCCCCCCCGCTACAGGAAGACTAACGTATGTTTGCTCACTACCCACTATCCTGTCTATGTTACCGGCTATTGAGAAGAGGATTTTGCTTGTGACGACGAAGTGTATGCTTATTTTTCAAACTCCTGGAATGGGAAAACCGTGTACATCTGTATTGTATATGGGTAGCATTGTCAGTTTAGTTCCCACGATTGTATCCTTCTATGGCAACCTCTTGTACGATTGTACTCAGTTATTGTACTGCTTTAAACTGCAGATCAGCCAAAGAGCCGTTGTGACGAAAGCACCGTCGGCTGCAGTAACCACATTTCCACTGAAAGCACGTCCTCGTGTTCGTCTCTAGGCTCCTCCGACTCGCACCTGAAGGTGTGGCTGGCGCCATCCGGTGACCTTCACGCGACCTTGGAGGGTCACACGGGTCCGGTGACGTGTGTGCAGTTCGCGCCGAACGGTCTGTACGCCGTCAGCGGCTCGCAAGACACTTCCATCCGCGTCTGGGGACTCACGCTCAATCTGGTGGTGGCCGCCTTCACAGTGAGTGTGACGTCATCTGTTCTTATGATGTCATTAGATTTACGTCGACGTGCGTCTAGAGGCTGAATGGGAGCTTTCTCGGAGTTCTTGGCGTCATCTCATTCGGTGGCGTCATTAGAAGACGTGTGACAATGCAGTCGCAGACAAAAAGAAAAAAATTCGGTCACTCGGTGCTCTCTGACGGGGTTTCACTTGATCACATCAAAGGCATGAAGAGACCTCTGCTGAAAGGCCTCTGCTGCTGAAAGACCTCCCAATTTCATTACACTAGCCTTAGAAAGCTCTATCACTATATATAGCATTCATCTTTCCTTCGCTACATCGACGATGCTTTCCAGGAACCTTAAATGGAAATCCTCCACTCATTTCTCCAAGACGACACGAATATATGGTGATGGTTCGCCTTTTCCTGGCGAATCTACACCTCTCTCTCCCGGCGTATCTACACCCCAGGCTCCTGGCGTATTTACATCGCTCTCTCCTGGCGTATCTACACCTCCGGCTCCTAGCGTAACCACATGCTGGGTTCTTGGTCTACGTACATCATTCTACATATATCGTTCCTGCCGTATGTACACCCCTAGCTCCTGATGTATCTACACTGCTCGCTTCTGGCGTATCTGCACCCCTGGCTCCTGACGTATCTACACCGCTCGCTCCTGGCGTATCTACACCCCTGGCTCTTGACGTATCTACGCCGCTCGCTCTTGGCGGCTTACACCCCTGGCTCCTGGCATATCTACACCCCTGGCTCCTGGCGTATCTACGCCCCTGGTTCCCGGAATATCTACACCCCTGGCTCCTGGTGTATTTACACCCCTGGCTCCTGGCATGCCTCTGTCACTGACGCGATGTGTCCGTGGACAGGACCACATGACGCCGGTGGTGTCCGTATGTGTGCTCTCGGACAGCAAGCGCACTCTGTCGGCGGACAAGGGCGGCGTGCTCATGGTAAGTCACTCGCCGTGGCGTGACGTCACTCATGCAGCGTGATGTCACTCGCTGCGGCGTGACGTCACTCGCTGCGGTGTGACGTAATTCGCTACGGCGGGACGTGACGCCGCAGCGTCGTCACTCTGCCGTGTTTCATAAGAAATTTAGTTCTAAAATGCCCTAGTGCTTGTGTTAAAATAATTGACTTTCGCTAGACCAGCAGGTGCTACTTAAACCGAGATATCTGAAAGTCCTTAGGATTTATGATGAGGATACCCCACGGTTCAAGGCTGTGTTTATAGCCACGAGTTTGTGGAAAGTTGGCTTTAGTTAGCATGAAGACTCCTAATGACGACAAGTTTAAAACGCAAATGTTTTTTTTTCTTTTTATCAAGGTTCTCAGTTCCTATATAATTATATATATATATATATATATATATATATATATATGTATATATATATATATATATATATATGTTACAAATGTTAGTTTTACAAAAGGTGTATAATTTTTAAGTGGGCATTACTGAAAATTTCGCAGCGATATCTCAAGGCACTTTTAGATACCTCGAACGTTAGACAGGGGGCGGGGGAGGTAGACTTGACCAGGTTCAATGCCGGCTTAAAACTGTATTCACCGGTGCAGCAGTGCATAATTATGTTACTTCTCAAATATACTACACAATTGTACATCTCAAAACCGTTCAACCCTACTAAACCGCCGCAACGTTTATGCTTGCACTGTTGTGTCGGGACCCTTGACCTCGGTGGGACACTACCTGGACTGGGGCACAAAGCGGATTCAAACAAGATCGCGGTCTGCCGTTGGTGACCGTCTCCTACGCTCGCCGACGTCATACCCTCCGGCCGCAGCTGTGGCAGGTGGAGACGGGCGTGGTGCTGCTGACCTGCCAGGGGCCCGGAGAGTTGATCCGCGTGACTCCCGACCAGACCTACGCCATCTCCGGCAACAGCGCTGGCCACCAGTGAGCTCACGGCGACCGGGTGCCGGCGAAGGGGCGCCCTGCTGGGATGCGGAATCCTGCGTTTTGGGCTCTGACGGCCTATGACGTCATTGGGATCGTGATTGTGAGAAGAAAGCCATGATTGGACTTGACTTTAGTATTATCGCCGCTGTTGTGTGCATGTTACATGACTGGTAAAGCTGTTGCAGGATCACGAAGTGCATCATTTTAGGAGTTGATTGTGTGCCACTTTTCGGGAATTGGTTACTGCAATTTAAAGCTTAGCCGCACTTCCTTATGCACTGACGTGTATTCCATCTGTTTCAGGCTGTATGTTTGGACGCTGAATAAAAACGAAACCAAGAACACAATCAGTCATAATGACGTCATACGCTGCTTTGACGTCAGCAGCGACAGCTTGCACGTCATCACAGGCTCCAACGACGCATCGCTCAAAGTTTGGACCATCGCGGAGGGGCGTCTTACGCAGGTGCGTGACGTGATAAAATGACGTAACAAATGTGACAATGCCTAACGGGGCGGTACGGAGCGGTGAACTCAATTCAAAGGTAGCCAAAATTATTCTGAAGATAAAGAGACTGAAAAGATGTGCTGTTTTTTTGGTCATTATGGTCACCTCCCGCTGGCGGTAGAGCAACAGTATCGACAGTATCAGTGACTGACATATTTTCGCTGGTGTGGCACGGCAAGTTTCGAAATGAGGCCGACGCTGCTTTGCTTCTTGCGTGATGGAAATTCTTCCAATAAAACCCTGTTGCGCTTCTTGCGATATAACCCTGTTATCTGGCGTCAGTTTGTAGCAAAAAAATTATAAAAAAACGTTTTCCGTTACTAGCTTACGTGATGCAATGCGCCATTAAATGAGGTCTTCAGCGGTTTTGATTCAGCATTGCTCTTTGCTCGTAATACTTCAAGATATCAATTTAAGCGCTTAACTTACATTACGTTAATTTGATATTCTATATTGATATTTTGTTTTTATTTAATCTACTTTACTTTAACTGGTTGACTTAACTTGAAAAGACAAAACATGATTTCCGTCATTCCTTTCAAGTTAATCGCCAGCTTTCCATAAGGAAAGCGTTTCTTGTCTGCATCGGTACCGTTAAGAGTACGTCTGCGAGCACGCTCTGCATCTGTGTGCGTTGTGCGCCACCCACCTGGCGACCAACTCCGGCCCAGCAGTCCAGCCCTGTTGCCAATACTTCCACCTTCAAATATGGAGGCAACCAAATCCACAGGGACGTCTGCAGCCGGGAGTCAAGCGTCGCTTCGACACTCTCAAGGGAACTCAGCGGCGCCACGTCCATCCACTCCCACTCCTTTGCCCACCGCCGCTCTAGTGATTACCTTGTACTTGATACGATGTATTGCCAGGCATAACATCAGTTTTCGTGATACCACAGCCAGCAAAAATGTGTGTGCGCGCTATGCCAACCGTCTTGTTACATTGGATCTAGACATTCCAACCCATCATGTGCTGACGGTGCCTTTCCGCCCATCTTGTGCCGGCTCCTGTCAACAGTGTCTTCCCGCCGACCTTGTGCTGGCTCCTGTTGACGGTGTCTTCCTGCCCATCTTGTGCTGACTCCTGTCGACTGTGTCTTCCCGCCCATCTTGTGCTGGCTCCTGTTGACGGTGTCTTCCCGCCCATCTTGTCCTGGCTCCTGTTGACGGTGTCTTCCCTCCCACCTTGTCCTGGCCCCTGTTGACGGTGCCTTCCCACCCACCTTGTGCTGGCTCCTGTTGACGGTGTCTTCCCGCCCACCTTGTCCTGGCTCCTGTTGACGGTGCCTTCCCGCCCTTCTTGTCCTGGCTCCTGTTGACGGTGTCTTCCCTCCCACCTTGTCCTGGCTCCTGTTGACAGTGTCTTCCCGCCCATCTTGTCCTGGCTCCTGTTGACAGTGTCTTCCCGCACATCTTGTGCTGGCTCCTGTTGACAGTGTCTTCCCGCCCATCTTGTGCTGCCTCATGCTGACATTGTCTTCCCGCCCATCTTGTGCTGGCTCCTGTGGACGGTGTCTTCCCGCCCATCTTGTGCTGGCTCTTGTTGACGGTGTCTTCCCGCCCATCTTGTGTTGGTTCCTGTTGACAGTGTCTTCCCGCCGATCTTGTGCTGGCTCCTGTCCACAGTTCTTCCCGCCCATCTTGTGCAGGCTCTTGTTGACGGTGTCTTCCCTCCCATCTTGTGCTGGCTCCTGTTGAGGGTGTCTTCCTTCCCATCTTGTGCTGGCTCCGGTGAACGATGTATTCTCTCCCATCTTGTGCTGGCTCCTTTTGACGGTGCCTTCCCTCTTATCTAGTGCTGATTCCTGTTGACACTGCTTTCTCCTTCATTTTGTGCTGAGTCCTGCCCAGTTTTCTTTCCTCCCATGTCGTGCTGGCTCCAGTTAATGATGTCTTCTCTCCCATATTGCGCTGACTCCTGTCTAGGTGTCTTTCCTCCTGTCTTATGCTGGCTCCTATCGACAATATCTTCCCGCCCATCTTGTGTTGGCCTCTGTCGACTGTGTCTTCTCTCCCATTTAGTGCTGGCTCCTGTTCGCAGTGTCTTCTCTCCCATCTTGTGCTGGTCTCTGTTGGCAGTGTCCTCCCTTCCATCTTGTGCTGACTTCTGTCCAGATTTCTTCCCTCCCATCTTGTGTCGGCTCCTGTTGACCGTGCCTCTTCTGTCACGCCGTGCTGACGGGGTGACCTCGGCAGGTGCTGGTGGGGCACGAGGCGGCGGTGACCTGCGTCGCCTACCCAGCCTATGTCAGCCACACGGCCGCCTCTGGAGGCGACGACTGTCTGGTCATGGCCTGGGACGTGGACACTGGTGAGGGAGTGGGAGAAGCTGATAGGTACAGGGAATGGACGCTGGTGAGGGTCTGACAGGGGTAGGGAAGGGACGCTGGTGAGAGGCTGACAGGGACAGAGAATGGACGCCGGTGAGGGGCTGACAGGGGCAGGGGAAGGACGCTGATGAGGAGCTGACATGGGCAAGGGGGGGACGCTGGTGAGGGGCTGACAGGGATATCCAGGCTGGGAATGAATGGACATGGACATGGACGTGGACATGGGCATGGACAAGTACTAGTCTTAAATTGACAGGCGATGCTCATATGAGAGCTGGTGGTAGGAAGCTGGGGTTAACAGCCAAGTTTAGGAGGTTAGGGACAAGGAGAGGGACACACCTGTGTGTGGGAGGTGGTGGGTAACGACGGCTGTTGGGGTGATGAGTGTTCAACCGTGGGAAAGTTTCAGAAATTAGACTCACATAGGAGAGCAGACGCCGCCAGAAAAGAGGTCATACGTTGGTGCTCCGTCTGCCTGTCTGCTTGGCTTTGTGAGCCAGGCAGCTAGGTTTTGTGCCACTATATCGTGTTCTGTGTGCCAGGGACGCACAGTCAAGGGAAGGGATGTGTCGGACTCGCCGAGACTGAGATGTTTGTCAGTCTGTCACGTCTGTCACCTCAACACTCAGGAGGTAGCAGACGGTAATCAAGCTACTTACCTTGGCCGTACGGTGAGAGCAGGGTTGGAACCGAACCCTGCTGTTAAAAAACAGGCTGCCCTCGGTTTCAGCCAAGGAAGAACTATGCTCGACTAAGTGTCCTGGCTCTGCACGGTGTGTTCCAGATGAGGGGCCGGTGACCTGACCCTGTGCTGACCCTGAGCTCCGGTGTTTCAGGTCAGACCCGCCAGGTGATCAGGGACCACGTGGCTCCTGTGACGGCGGTGTGCATGACGGCCGACGCCGGACTGGTCATCTCAGGTCAGCCCCTGACCCGGGCCGCAGGGGCTTAGGCGTGTTGGGTACAGTTTGTGGGGTTACGTCACTAAGGTGTTGGACTACGTGAGATTGTGCATAGTTGTGTATGCTGTAGTTAGGAACAATGGTCAATACAGCTCCCTGGAACTTTTTCAAGATCATGATGATTTCTCCTACGATGGTAACGAACACCAAGGTGTCATACGAAGTCCGGTGGCGAAATAAAATATTATTTTAGATTTAGGGCTATAAGCGTTTAAGACCTGCAATTTCTGGTTTTATGGAATTTTGAGTTCTTGTATTAAAAATAGCAAAATTGCAATATCCCAGACTAACTCAGCACAACTTCCTTTCATTCCAGCAGATATTCACCAAAACTTATCATACCGAAAATGCATTCGCCAGCTGTCTGCTACACTACCTTTCATGTTTTGTATGGCCTTTTTACATCAATTTCCATATGCTCTTTCGGCAAAAACCTGTCCTCCAAAATATAATACCATTATGTGCCGCTGCTACTTGCCGTGCCGTTGCCACTTGCCCATGTGCCGTTCCCCCCAGCCCCCCCCCCCCCGGTCAGACGTGCTGAAGGTCTTCTGTATGTGCAGTATGACCTGTGACATCACATGACCTCTGTCCCAGGCTCGGCGTACGGCCGCGTGTCGACCTCTGTCCCGGGCTCGTCGAAAAGCTGCCGGTCTGTGCACAGTGTGACCTCCGCTCAGCTGGGGCCTTTGACACCGCGTGACTCCTGTCCCAGGCTCGTCGAACGGCTGCCTGTCTGTACGCAGCGCGACCTCCGGCCAGCTGGAGACCTCTGACACCACGTGACCTCTGTCCCAGGCTCGTCGAACGGCTGCCTGTTTGTACACAGTGTGACCTCCGGACAGCGGGTGACCTCTGTGAACTTGCACGTGGCGGTGGCGGGTCTGTGTATATCCAATGATGCCGGAAAAATAGCGGCCAGGTTAGTGGAGCGACCAGAAAGCTTACGCGAAATGGACACAGAAGAGGGTCAAGTGTCGTGGATTTTAATTTTTTCCTGTGTGTTTTTCCTTTCGAACGTACAACACCGAAGTCTTAACCAGCGGTGTTTTGTCAATATATCTATTACCTCTTGAGAACAATGGCAATTTCTATGCGGGGGAGGGGTGGTGGCGAAAGCTGGCTTATTATGTACGCTGCTGTATTACAACTCAGTTTATACAATAACGGCTTAGGACTTGACATGTTATCGTTCTGTTATGACAAATATTCACAATTCGTTAAAAATTGGTGATGCATGCTTGTGAATAACACCAGGGGAATAACGTTACCATACTGACCGGGCGTACACTATCCAATCCGCTACAGACCGGTAGGATTTTTTGTTTTAATACAAACAATCTTACCGGTGTTTTGAGTACTCGCTGGCACCTACCTTGCAAGACTATCCGGCAGCGAGAAGTCTGCTGTCTTTTTCATGGATGTCACCGCCTTTTTTGGTATGCATCTTATCTCATTTTATGCGCTGGTTTTCCCCTAATATATTTCCTCCTCTATCTTGTACGTCATAAGTTTATGTTTAGCGTGTCCTGACAGCACATCTGGGT